GACACCCCTGCATTAAGGAAAACAAATGAACCCCACATGAGCAAGCGCTCGGCACCAGAAGCAAGGAATAACTCCCGGACTGCGGGGGGTCATCTGTCTCTAGTGGTTGAGCAACAGGGGGAGGGTCCAGTGAACAATGGGCACAACAAAAACCATATCAGCAATAGTAATAGTAGTCCCATGATGGCAGCAACATCATCAGCAAGTGTAGTGGGGTCCTTGCATAGAACAACCAACCAACATTGCCCAGCATGTGTCACTCACCCACAAAGTACTCCATCATGGCAGGCTGGTGATGAGGAGACGGAGCCAGGCGCAGCAACTCTTCTCCGCGGGGCACTGTGGGGTAGTTGATGGCCTGCACGTAGATGCTGTGTCTTTCCAGCAGGATGTCGCACACCTTGGTGTTCAGCTCTGCATTGCCCACCTGCAGAATGGAACGGCAACAGAAGCAACAGCGATGATCAAAACCTGGTGGACAGCCATTGCTAAGCTACTCAACTGAATCAGAATGACGGCAGTCATCCTGACAAGTTGCGTAGTGTAATGTCACCACTGGTTTATGACACATGAGAATGATCTTTTTTATTTATTTGTAATTTTTTTAGGCAAACCTCCATACCCGTATGGGGATGATGTGGCTAGGACAGTGGACCACAGGCAGGCCCTTATCCATGAGCAGCTGCCTCATGTGTTTAACGTTCCTTTGGTGGGCTCTGCGCAGGGATTGCCCCTCGGGGCCCCTAAGGACCCGCACGGACTCCAGGGCTCCGGCCAGCACCATGGGGGGCAGGGCGGTGGTGAAGATGAAGCCAGCCGCAAAGGATCGCACTGTGTCCACCAGGGCGGCGCTGCTGGCGATGTAGCCTCCCACACAGCCGTAGGCCTTGCCTGGGAGGGCAGAATGTTTGTGAGGTCAGAGGACACATTTAACTTGAAATACAGGATATATATTTCACTGAAGCAAACGGTTTTCTATTTCAGAGGGGGCTTATTCACACAGTAAGATGGTGAAAATGGTGGTTCAGCTCC